TGAATAAAAAAAAAAATACATATATTCCTTAGTATATATGAAAATCAAAACATTCATGCACACTTCTTAGCAGCCTGGTGCGGGTTTGGTGGGTGGTGAAGCAAGATATGGATCCAAGTGCAACAAGAAGTCTCCCGTCTACCCTGCTGTAAAAAAAAACTAATAATATTCTCGACTATTGTTTACAAAAAAAAAATTGTTCATGCGCACTTCTGAGCTGCCACATTTTGGGTTTTGCGTGTGGTGCAGCGTGATGTGGAACCAAGCCCGAAGTGGGAGGGGGGGTAGCAGCCTGGTACGGTTTTGGTGGGTGGTGAAGCAAGATATGGATCCACGTGCAACAAGAAGCCCCCCGTCTACCCTGCTGTATAAAAAATATATATATATTCTCGACTATTGTTTAGAAGAAAAAAAAATTGTTCATGCGCACTTCTTAGCTGCCACATTTTGGGTTTTGCGTGTGGTGCAGCATGATGTTGAACCAAGCCCGAAGTGGGGGGGGGGGGGCGGAGCCCTCCCCCCCCTGCAACTTGAATAAAAAAAAAATACATATTCCTTAGTATATATGAAAATCGTTGTCGTCCGCAGACAAGATGTCTTCGTCGAGGGGCGAGGGGGAGCCTGCAGCGACCTTCGGGATGGGATCAGGGAAAGATTCCACAAAACGTTCGTCTACGACCTCGAGGTCGTGGTCGGACCACGCAAGGTCGAAATGGTTCGTCCACTAGTGTTGTGGTGCTGCTTCGAACCCAGTTCAACAGTCGTGTGGTCCTGTAATCTTCGTCGAAGCCAACAAGCGCCGTAGGGTTCTGGGGGCTGTCTTGCGGTGGGAGAATGCGAAAGGCAGTCGTCGGCGGTTCTACATGAAAAATGTGTACGGTTCCAAGGGGAACGTCGTCGCCGGTGCCAAGGGGGCGGTTCTCGACATGTGTCTGTTCGAGGTGTTCGGAGCGGGTGCTGCGAACACCCCGTTCTACAACGACCTCCGGCGGCAGGGCAGGTTTGTTTTGGGTCGAGAGTTCTTCGACTTGTTGGATGAGAAGGGCATCGCCCTCGATGTCCCTTGCGAAGTCGGCCCCGACCTGGAACTGTCAATGACTTTGCAGCTGTGCGGCGGTTGTGAGTCGAGCGGCGCAGCGGGGGAGGGGGGATCTGGGTTCCGGCGAGGCTACACATGTGCAGCGGGAGGATGCCAGAGGCTTGTTTGACGACAGCGAAGATGAGGCGACACCGCGTCCGCCGTTTTCGGCGTCGAGGGAAAGAGACCAGTCCGTGTTGTCCATACCTGCGGTACGACAAGAGGTCGCAGCAGATCCGGGAGAAGAGGCAGTCCAGTGTGGGTCCGACTTGGAGCCCGGCGAGGGCCATGGCGCGGACGACAAGGTCGTGGGCAGTGAGGGAGCGCAGGGGACTCCCCAAAAAAAAAGGGGAGATTGTCAAGAGGACGTGGTAGGCTTTTCGAAGAAATAGAAGACGAGGACCCTGAAGACGACGGGAGAAAAATGGAAGGGAAGGGGGGTGAAAGAGGACCACCCGGGTAGCAAACGTCTGGCTTCAAAACAGAAACAGCCTGTGTCTGGACCTTCCCCGACAAGGCCTGCCGTCGACGTGGACGCCGGGTACTTCCTGGAGTACAAGGACGGCGTCAGGACAAGGCGGGAGTTTAAGATTAGCCAGACTCAGATCGTCGACCTCGGGGAGTGGGAGGATCTTTACAACCAGCGATCGTTGGATTCTGTCCTCGTGGGAACAATAAAAAAAGCAATGCAGTATGCGTTCGAAAATAAAGAGCAGACGTACGAGTTGCCGACCTTCAAGCTCGCACCACTGGGGCTTCAAAAACCAACTCCCGGGACCAAGGCTCAACGTCTTAAGCCGGAGGAGTGGAAGGATGAGCTGGCGGGAGAATACTACTACTACGCGAAGTGCGGGCAACATAACGCGGCTGCAGCCCGGTCGCTGCTCGGGAGCGAGGTGGCCAAGAAGTACAATTTCGAGCGGTGGCCGGCGCGAATGCTTTACTTTTCGGACGACGACTTCGAAGGGTATTTTCTTGTTAGTTCACAGGACAACAAGAAGGACCTGAAGGCGCCTCCCAGACAGTTGAAGCTGTCTATGAAAGACATTCGGTGGCAGTGGAAGCATGACGGCTGCCCGAGAGCTATGATGGGGAACCCTAGCGGGAAACAAGATCAGGTCCGGGTTTGGCGTAAGTTTTGTACAACGGCGCTCCATAAGGCGCCTCACAACAGCTTGTGGATTCTCGCGGATCAAAAGGAGGAGGAGGCCCTTAAGAAGCAAAATGTTGCCCTGCGTTCTTATTTCCCTCTCGCGATGGCCGGAGAAAATGTCTGGAATCTGGCCCTGGAATTTTTCGAAAAATGGGAGACGGGTAAATTGCTAAGCCACGGCGGAGCGAAGTGGATCGTGAAAAAGAAGAAGGTCAAAAACGTCAAGCCTGGGGTCGCCTACATCCACAACGACAAGTTGGGCACAACTGAGGTGGTGTACAACGTCCCCGTGGACCCGCCGAATAAGAAAGGCAAAAAGGAGAAAGAGGAGGGCGATTGGTTCGTGCAAGTGCCCGACCCGGACGTGCATTGTTGGAAAGCAATGGAATCACTCACGGACAATGAGAAGTGTCGAGTTCTAAAGAAGGTGCTTGCTTGCGAGGTCGTTTGGGTCCAGGCCGGCTCCCCGTCCTTGGCGAAGTTGGGGAAGCTCAGCGTGCAGGACATGGTGCAGCTGGTGAAGTGCGACCGCGTGCTGGTCCGGTTGTGGAATTACTACCAGTTCAAACACGGGAAGAGGCCGGACGCGGATTGGATCCAAAGGTACCCTTTCCTGAAATCGAGGTCTGCAGTGTTCAGGAAGTTCGAAAGTCAGGGATTGGATGACGAGTTGTGGGATAACAGTAGGAAACACGTTTCAGACTTGGCATTGTTCAAGGACTGCCCGTCGTACATGGGTTGCGACCAGGACAACTCGATTGAGGTGACGGAGAAGTTGGCGGGATACAAGAAGTTGTCCGTCGAGTGGAGAAACAGGGTTCTCTCCGTGTTGAATGGGAACAGACTGAAGAGCCGAGAGGTCGCACTTGCCAAAGGCATTGTTCACATTAAATGGAAAGACACAGGGGACGTGACATCCATCGCGTCGTTCGCTAACGACCCTTTGGAGGCGTACATGAGGGGCGCAGAGCAGAAGGAAGCAGTGACTGCCACAAAGAGCCACACGTTCGTCCTCGATCTGTGCGAGCCGATTGACCTCAAACTGTGGAAGGCCCAAGCGTGGGAGACATTGGATTCCTATCTTCAGACGTGGTGTCCGTCGCATTGTACTCTCATTGTTTTCGTGCCGCGGCAGTACAACCTCACATTTCTCGCCAGCATGCACCATCTTTCTTTCGTCAAGCTGTTGGAAGGGAAGTGGGTGAGGAGAGTTCAACAAAAGAAAAGCTTCCCCATTGGGAACAATTTGTACACGGAGGAAGGCCGCATGTACATCCTCTTCAAGGGTGACGATCTGCGCGCCAACACGTCCATGGTCTACGAGGGAAACCTGCCCAGGGGTGCCGTTGCTGCGGTGTGATTGCCTCAGAGGGTCACCCAGACGGATGTGTCCGAGATTCCCTTTGTGACTTGCGATTGGTCGCTGGTGGCGCCGGAACGACAGGGCAGTGTCTACGGGGATATGGAACGCAATCCGACACAATTCGTCAATCTACTTGATTTCCTTGGGAAGAAGGCAGAGGGTGTCGTGTTCCTTGGGGAACCACACGTGCGAAGCGTCTGGGATCTTCTGAAGGCCGGCCGACACGTTGTCGCGATGGAAGGGAACGCCGATCTCTTGCAATTCACGATGCAGGCGGTGAAAAGCGAGGTCAATTCGGGCGGGCACAATTGTGAGTTCATGGTCGTGAAGCCTACACGGGATAAGGTGTGGAGCAACAAGACGGATATGTGGTTCAAGTTGAGCGAGAGGAAGAGGAACAAGATATACGATTTCTTGTTCCTTCAAACGCGGCCGAGGAAGGACTCTGACGCCGAGTACGTCCGCCGGAAGCACCACATGTTCGCGCTGCTCGACAACTACCACTTCGCCTCCCGCATGAACGCGAAGACATTTCTCGATAGGCTGCAGTCGCTGTACTTCGTGGAGTCTGAGGAGCAGTTGAAGTTAGCCAGTTACGCTTCCCTGATCTCCATTGATGACGAGGAAGCCACAGGTGTGGAGTTTGTCGTCAACGTGAAGGAGGAGGAGAACGACATAGAGAGCATTGATCTGCAGTACGACCCACCTCCGGCGGACCACGGCAGAGGGTCGTCATCGGCCGGTCCGTCACCGAGCGTTGCAGTCCTCGTGTCACCGTCGGCCAAACCGCCGCCGGGCACCACGCCGATGAAGTTTATGGAGAGACTCAGAGCTCTGGCTGTCCCCCCGCCCGCCTTGCGTCCCGGGTCCGACATCCCGCCCGATCATCCATCTTGGCAGGATGACCACATCCACTTCCTGCTTGAGCCACAACGTCATTCGCCTGAGCTGGAATGGGGCCATGACATGGTGTGGCATCAGGGAGTCATCCAGCCAGCGATACGAAAGGGCGAGTGGGTCATGGCGGTCGCAATCCCGGGCGCAGGATGGGCGTTATTCCCGCACGAGTCGAAGTCCAACTCCCTGCACCTCGCAAGGATTTCGGTCCTCCAGAAAGTGACGGCCGAGAATGACACCTTTGCACCCGGCAACCTGTCCCTCATTTCCACAGCCGGTCGACTGTTCGACGAGCTTCAGGACAAGTGCTGGTTGGAATTGACGGAGGACTACCACGACCTCGACACAAGTCCGTCGAAGAGCATGGTGGACTAGAAAGTGCCCCCTCCCAGTGGCTTGGACGATAGTTCCGGGTGGGGGGCACCTGGGGTTGGAGGGGATGGTGGTGGTGGCGCGGGGGGTGGCAAAGGAATCCCGAGTAGTGGGGAGAGGGGGTCTCACGGCCGCAACACGACACCGGGAGGCAGCGGCGGGGTGGCGGGTTTCGCCGTCGACCGACCTCCGTCGACAGGCACCTGCCCGGATCATACGACACACTCCGCTGACCTCCCGACTTCGTCCGTGGGCTCAGCAAGGGACACGTTGGCAGCTTTGCTTGCTCTGGGCAGTCGCTCCGGCGGAAAGTCGAAGTCTGCCGGGATCCGAACTACGTCCGCTGAGGAGCCCCCAGAGCGGTCCGGAATGCAAAGCCGCTCGGGGTCGGGGGAGCCAAGCAAGGATCCTGAAATTGGCAGCATTGCGGCGCGAGACGGAAACGTGGGAAATGTGTCGCCTGAACAGGAGCGACGGCCGCAAGGATTGCAGCGAGAGGCTGCAGGTACAGGGTCCAGCGACACGGAGACGACGAAGTCTGCCGAGATCCGAACTTCTTCGGGCGGGGGGTGTCGGCCAGGGATTGTCGTGCTGTTGAGAGGGGCACCGTGCACGGAGACGGAAGGGCGGTCCGCTTCGTCACCGCCGAAGTCCCTGGTCCTGCTGGACACCCTTGCCGCCGGAGAGGAAGGCGAGGTCGGGGGACGACAACATGTCACGTCCCCAAAAAAATCGAGGGTCGGCGGTCAAGCTCTCGACGTGCTCGCTTTGCCCATGCCAAATTCCCCATCGAAGGAGCGGAGAGGGAAACAAACTGGTAAGCCGTGAAGAACGCCACACTGTCTGTCGATACGGGAAGTTCAGGATGCCGCCATACTGCAGCCACCAACCCTTCCTAATACATCTCGTCGGCTTATCTGTCACTCGGTCGGGTTGCTGGTCGAGGGCGGCGAAAAGTTCCTCGACAAACTTACACTCCATCCAAGGAAGGATCTGCCCCGGCTGAGGAAGTGGCCAAGGGGCTAAGGATGTGACCAAGTAGATGAACTGACGGTTTTCCCTTCTCGGGAATAGTGTCAGTTTTAGTCCGCCGGGATCCGAACTTTCTTTGTTGATGCGTGATGTGGTCAGTCTCAGTGGGGCTGGTGTGTTGAAAAGTCCGCCGCAGTCCAAACTTCGGGGACTGCTGGCCTTTGGCTTCTGTGAGTTGTGGTGGTTTTCCTTTGCGAAGTGCGGGGGTGTTAAGCTAGTATGTTGCAGTCGTTTTGTTTTCCAGTATCACAACCGCACCTGGGTCACATGACCACGTGAAATCAGGGTCCTATGGTCGGAGAGGTCCTGCTTGACTATTGCGTCTATGCGATTGTATGGTTCTCATTTTCCGTTGTGTCTTTCTTTTGTTGTAAAGGGGTGGGGTCGTCTCGAACACGGAGGTCCTCAAAATATCCTGACCACATATTGCAGAAAGTCCCCGGGTTGACTACAAAACACAAGGATATGTTAAAGGCATCAGGGGTTGATGTCGAGATCGGGAAGGAGTACAACGTTGCCATTGAGGAATGTCTTTCCCTTCTTGCCCCAGAGAAAGGGACATATCCGCGATCTGTGAGTAGAGGTCAGGCCATGTATGAGAAGTACTTAGCAACGCGTCATGCTCCGGGGGACAATGCCTACAACTCCGTTTCTCACTACCCCACGTGTCCTTTGCTTGATGTTGTGCAGTGCGGGCCACAAGTGCAACACGCGGGAAAAGTTTCGCTACAGCGATTGCGCCTCTGAGCTTGCGGGTTTTGGACGACATTTTACGAGGCTCGGTGCCGTCTCACACTGTTCTCTCTATACTCGACGATGGCCAATTTCGGACTACAGCAAAAGATCTCCTCACCCTGCTGTATGTCGACGACAGGGTGAATGATGAGGTGGTCAATTTCTATATGGCGTTGTTGGGGTCAACCGCATGTGGGTCACGTGACATTTCGTCGGACCTTCAAGTCTTCAGCTTTAATTCGTTCTTCTTCAGTAAACTGCGACTTCAAGGACACGGTGGGGTGCGGAGGTGGGCTAGAAACGTAGATTTGCTTCGTTACGATATTGTCTTCGTTCCTGTCCACAAAGATGATGATCACTGGATCCTCCTTTCTGTCAACATGAGAGATGATGTTCTCGAAATTTTTTATTCATTTCCTCGAGTTGTATCTGATTCTAGTTCTTACCTTTCTGTTTTCGGGTTGATTGTGCAGTATTTGGAACGTCAAACATCACATAGGCGGTCGGGTAGGAGTTGGAAGTCGATAGTGCGAAATGTTGTGGTGGATGGAGTTCCGAGACAAGTGGATGGAGCAAGCTGTGGGGTGTTCATGTTGATGTATGCGACGTTGTTGCAACGTGGAGATTGACCGCCTTTCCAGTTCTCTTATAAAGATATTCCGCTTCTTAGACGACAATTAGGATCATGTATCTTAGAACATCGTTGTCTTTGATGGATTTGATTGACTAAAACTCTTTTCTTAAGGTGTTCCATTCGTGGTTCATTGAATTCTGTAAATCGAGACATTATCTTCTAAAGATATTCCGCTTCTTACACGACAATTACCATCATGTTTCTTACAACATCGCTGTCTTTGATGAATTTGATTGACTTGGAAACTCTTCTCTTAAGGTGTTCCATTAGTTGTTCATTGAATTCTTTTCTTAAGCATGGAGACATTTTTCAACTGTCCTTCTGCCTAAGACATTGCTTTCTTTTGTCGTTCCGAGTTTGGGTTGTCTACAACAAGCTCATTGCATGTCCTGCGTCATGTATGGGCTTCGTGATCTCTGTCACATCGCAGTCGTTTCTAATGCAGCGGAATATGCCATACGTTATGTTCCATGTTTCGAATTTTGTTCCACTACAAGTATTCTGTTCCATGTTTCAAAAGGGAAGTGTAAACATGATTGTGAAACTGATTGGTGGATGCATGAGAAATGTCATCTTATGTGAAAGTGGTCAGTGGATGCCCAAACCTTCTTTGCATTACCATTTAAATTGCGGATATTCATCGTGAATGAGCACAGTTTTAAGTTCTACACTTGTGCATAGAAAATTCGAAAAAAAATGGTTATTAAAATACACCTTGCCCATCACAACTGTAAACAAGTGTGTTCCTCAGTGCCCTCATGTCGGGCGAGATGATGACCGTGCCTTTATGCGGAAGTCTGAATCTCTTCAACATCCAAACAATCGTCTCGGGTGAGACGATGGGTGTGCTTGCATAACTTAAGGCTAACCTGGTAAACGATAATTTGATGTGTTGACCAACAACGATTCGATCATGACACCTTGCTCATCACATACGTAAGCTTTGAGTTTAACAAGTGTGGATCTCGGCACACTCCTGCCCAATGTCAGGGTCACAAGTCTTCTAAACAAGTCCGGATCTCATCATACATCTAAACAACCGTCTTCAGCAAGATGATAAACCTGGACCGAGTGTAACTTTGGGATAACCAAAAGAATTATACTGAGTCTCTCCAATTCAATTTGATTACATTGCTAATTTTGCTTACAAAGTTCAACAACTATGGATGTCAGCAAACTTTCGCATTTGGGCCGAGTGGATGGGCACTCCTATGTGGAAACACTGCAGTGAAAAACGATTTCGTAAGAAAGAGGACAGTGTCACAATATAATGTATTTCATCACATTAAATTTTGTGAAATTCAAGTTTGACAAGTAAGGATCCCGGCACACTTCCGCACAGGGTTCCCTGTGTGGCGTGCCATTCGTTATTCGTTTATGAAGTTTGCGTAGTATGGATCCCAACACACTTCCCTGCAGGATCCAGCACGTTTTTGAAGTTCAACAAGTAAGGATCCCAACACACTTCCGCACAGGGTTCGCGGGTGGCGTGCCTAACATGTGTGGGTCTCTACACGCTTCCGCATTTGGGATTTCAGTTATAAGGTTTCACAAGTGCGGATCTCAACACTCTTCTGCATGTGGTTAAGCCCTGGATGGGCATGCCAACGTTGCTTAGGCTGCAGCCACAAATGAATTCGTTGAAAAGAGGACACAGAATAATGTCCTATTTTAACAAATAACATGTTACGCGTCAAATGGCTAATGTTTGCCTTGCTATGCACATGATGGGGTGCGTCGATCACGGAGTGTGGTTTTCACGTGTAAATGGATGCTCGAAGGACTGAAGGAATGAGTCGGCTTATTTGCCTTGGATAGAGCGGTGTCTCTATGCTTTTTTTCAGATCACACCATTTGTTTTCTTCTTGTTCAAATGACAATTTTTTTTCTTATTGAAATGAATCCTCTTTGCCCGCCTATGGAGTTCCCCTTTTTTCGTTGTATAAAAGTCATGGACTCTTATCCGGGTTTCGTTTGTATATGAGATGGGAAATCTTTTTTCCTTTTCCTCCGTTGCTCGCCCCTCTAATTCTAGTCTATGACGCATCTCTTATTCGTGTTTAGTTCCTTTACCAGTCCTTGGTTGGATCGACAAATGGCATCTATGTGTTTCGCTGAGCTTCCTGGAAATACGGGAATCCCAAGGGAAATTTTTGAACGGGCTGGGTTTGTTAATTAAGCACTTAGTGTCCTTCTTTTGTGGATACAAATTTTTGCTGCTCAATGTTTTGTCCCTTGCTCTATCTGCATATCCGTATCACATGTGGATGATCCATGACTTGCTGCGACATGTCGCGGTGGCTGTTTAATTATGTAACTACACACACACACACACACACTCTATGCGGAAACACACATACACACACATACACACACACACACAGTGTGTCACACACACACACACACACACACACACACACACACACACACACACACACACACACACACACACAATCAGTTGTATGTTTATCTGTTTTCCTGTTGTTGTCTGTCCTCCCCCTAATCTTTTCTAAGTGTTTTTGTTTGCCCAAACTAAGCACCCTTAAGTAGTGCCAAACAGTCGGTGGTTCCTCGTTTGGAGTGCCTACTGCACTCTTATGGGGGCCATTCAGTTCGGGATGTGTGTGTTGCCTGTAGGTGATGATGGATGCTCGTTGGAGTGACTCCCTGACTCAGTGGGTGGTGGGAACCAACAGTATGCAGGGTTCAATCGTGATGTGAGTAGGTCATGTGTTGCTTTGCTCCGTGTTGGATGTGTGGACTGCCTCGTCTGCACAGCACCGCCGCCTTGCTGCCTGTTCCGCTTGCTTTGCATGTTGTTCTCTGCAAGTTGTTGTGTTCGCTGTGTAGTGTGGCTGTGTTGTCGGTGTTGCCTTGCGCTTCGCTGCTCCGCTGCCTTGCTGCTCACTCGCTGGTCGTGCCTTCTTGGCGTTGTGCTGCCGTGTTGCCTCTACTTTGCTGCCTGGTGCTCCACAGGGTCGCCACCCGCTGCTGTGTTCCACTTAGGGACAGTCTGCCTTCAACAAGGGTCAAAGGGTTCATGACCCAAACCATCTAATACGGAGATTCCCGCAGATTGTCGAGGGTTCAGCCTCCTGATGAGTCGGTGCAATTATGACGAAACAATCTTTCATCATCAGTTTTTATTTTTTTCAGGCTCTGAAACTTTTATGGACTTCATTTTTTTTCTGATTTGCCTGTCTTTTGTGCTTGTTGTTGTCTGCCGTCCTATATCCCTCGTGCCTATTGCTGGTGTGTTGTCTTCCCTCCCTCCTCCTCCATGCCCTCCAGCCTATGTGTTGTCTTGCTGTTTGTGGCCTGTGTGTTTTGTTGTTCTCCCTTCCTTGCCTTTGGACTCGACTCCACTCAGATGCGTAGTCTCCTCCTGAAGTGTTGCAATGGTATGGTGCATGGTTTTTACTGTGCAGAAGTGTCCACAATATGTGTTCACACACATCATCACTCACAC